CAAGCCAAGTTCTCAGCTCCAGTCTCCAGTTCCTCTCCTGGGATATGAAGATTGGACCTGCCTTAAAAGTTGTTGAAAGAGTTAGAGGTGTTAAAGTACATGGCACAGAACATTAATAAGTTAGTACTACTGAAAGTTTCCAAGGACAACTCCTTTACCTGATGAAGATGAGACTGAGACAGCTTGTAAATTCACACAAGTATAAGGGTGCAGAACTGTGACTATAACCCAGGACTTCCATCTCCCTTTTTCCAGGGTTATCTCTTCAGTTTCAAATTTTGACTCCACCATGTGAGTTCTGCAGGATTTCAAACACTCAGCTGCCTTTTCCAAGGGAATTAATTCACATCTAAAGTTGAACAGATGATCATCGGTATTGTTTATATTTAAATGTCCTCCTACAGCCTTCTGTACCATAGTGAGGCTCTAGGGAGGTGATTGGATCATGGGCGTGTGATACTCATCTGCAGATTAGTATCCACTGACCTGAAAGGGTACAGCTCCCTGTCTTTCATTGATCTCTCTCTACTTCCCACTGGCAAGCCATAAACTGTTTCTCTCTTGCCATGGCCCTCTGCTATGTCTCCCTGCCATGACCTGAACTAGGGACTGAAGCTTCTACAAACTGAGCCAAAATAAACCTTTCCTCTTTAGCATTGTGGGTGTCGGGTATTGCGTCTCAGAGATGAGAAAGTAACTAAGACAATCGGACAGGGAATGAAGTTTGAGCTGTGAATTGCTGCTCACATGGAAAGGTTTCAAGCCTGCTAACTCTGTTCTGGGCCAGAGATTGAAAGTGGAAGTTACAGCAGTGCCAGTTGTTGAAGAGTAATAGCATAATGTCATTCTTGTGTGGTTGTAGCACTGGAGAGGTAAGAGAGAAATAGATGCCTGAAAGAAGCTCTACTCTATCTCACATCAATCATATACAAGTCAATTCAAAATGATCAGACATAAATGTAAGAGCTAAAAACTATAAAACTCTTAGAAGAAAGCACAGCATGATTCTCTGTAACCTTGAGTTAGGTAATGGTTTCTTAAGTATAACAACAAAAGCACAAGAAACCAAAGAAAAAAACAGATAAGTTGAACTTTATCAAAGTAAAACAACTGTTGTGCTTCAAAGGGCACTTATAAGAAAAAGGGGGAGACAACCCATAGGATAGGAGACAATATTTGTAAGTCATATATCTGATAAGGATCAAAAATATAAAGAATCTTACAACACAACGGGGAAACTACAACCCAACTGAAAAATGGACAAAGGATCTGAATAAATGTTTTCTTCAAATCCAATAAACACATGAAAAGAAAGATACCCTCCATCTTTAGTTATAAGGGAAATGTTAATCAAAAATACAATAAGTGATCACTTCACATATGCTAGGATGGCTACCATTTCTTTCAAAAAGGAAAATATTAGCCAGGTGTGGTGGCACATGCCTGTAATCCCAGCACTCAGGAGGCTGAGGTAGGAGAATTACCATGTGTTTGAGGCCAGCCTGGGCTACATACTGAGTTCAAGCCCAGTTTGAACTATGTAGGGAGACTCTCTCTCAACAAACCAATAATAATAGCAATAATAATAATAATAGAAAATATAGGAAAATATAAAGTGGTGAGGATATAATATAATATAAGTGGTAGAAAAATTGGAATCCTCATATGTCACCAATGGGAATGTTGAGGTCGTTGAGGAAAACAGTTTAGCAATTCCTCAAAAAGTCAGACATGGGACGAGGATGTAGCTCAGTGATACAGCTTGTGATTCATGTACACAAAACTGTTTGATCCCCAATATCAGAGAGGGGGAAAAACTTAAACTGTGCCCCAGAAACGTCAGTTCTGGGTATGTAACCAAGAGAAATGAAAGCGTGTGCACAGAGAAAGTTGCATTCACACACAAGTATTATTCAGAATGACCAAAAAGTGGGAACAACATAAATGTCCATCAACACATGAATGGATAAACAAAAAGCAGTGCATATATTATTCAGCCATCACAAACAGTGGAATACTGACGTACACTGCAACATGAACAAACTTGAAAACATGATGCTGAAGTGAGAGATGCCAAACACAAAAAGCCACACATTGTATAACTCTGTTTATAAGAAATATCAGGAACAGACAGATCCATAGGAGCAGAAAGTGGACGAGTGGTTGCTAGGGGTAAGAGAAGAGGGGAACAGAGAAAGTGATTGCTAATGGATGTGGGGCTCCACTGAGGTGATGAAAATGTACTAGAATTAGATAATGGTGATAGTTGCACTCCTCTGTGAGAACAACAGACCTCAACTGTACAATTTACAACATGTAGGTATCTCAATTGGAAAATAAAAGAAGCAGCTCTAAATTTCAGATTACCCCCAGTTCCAAGACTGGATTAATCTATGTGGCCAGTGCTGAGTGAGCTAAGCCTCCAGCCTTCGAATGAGCCCTCTCTCATGGATCAGCATAGCAACCTCCTGCCAGTAGCCCACCCCACCCCACCAAAGGAGGCTGGACTTTCTCAAGCGCCAGTGTCTCCCAGGAGAGCCTTTCCTGTGAAGCATAGTAGTCTAAACCAGAATCATTCCAGAAGATTGAGGTCCTTGTTCTTTTCTCTCTACCTTTGCATATGTTTGAAATTTTCTGTAACTGCTACAAATAAGGTAGAATCTCTCCTGCAGCCTGCCACTTGTGTATCTCTTCACAGATCAGCTTATTCTCCTGGTTGACCTGGGAGGAGAGAGCACATTGGGAGGACCTCTCTCCTGGAATGAAGAGCCAACACACGCTGTCCATGGCATGCAGCACATGGACAAGGAGAAGGGGCACTCTTCCCTAATGATCCTTGGTTTGTAAGTCCCTCCTTTAGAAAGGAAGAGGGCCTTGGACTGAGACTGCTTCCGTTCAGCCTCCAAAACTTCCTAGCTCCAGGTTCCCTAACCCATCTGTTCCTTCACCTACCTCTTGTAAAATGAAGGTAATAATTCTAGTACCCAGACCACAGGCTCCAGGGGAATAAAGTGAGTTATTGCATGGAAAGCTTTCAGCACACTGCTCTGCGCGGTTTTAGCCCTCAAGAAGTGTTAACTGTCAATTGAGATCTTACCAGGCCAGACCACTCTGGCCTGGAATCTTAAGATCTGCCTTGTGGACGAGGCCATGAGCTTCTTGAGAATGAGGACCATGTGATCCTCCTATCCTCCCAGCCAGGCTGGCAGTTCTAACTTCTCTGCTAATGCCAGCTCCATCCCTGCATCCCTGGCTTATGTGGCTTTGGCGAGTCATTTTTCTCAGCTTGCTTTCCTACCTGTGACATGAGTATAGCAGGAGGTGAGGAGTAAGGTAGAGGGAAGCCACTGCCTTTGTAAAAGACCTCATTTTTATGTAAATAAAGAAGTTTGTAAAGTTTGTAAGTAAATTAAACATGACATCCTTATGCGTCATTTCTAATTACACAAATGATACTGGAGAATCCTCACAAAATTAAAACTAGAAATTCCATTTGACTCAGCTATTCCCCTTCTGGGTATC